AATTTGCCTGAGCCTTTGCCCCTAGGCAAAATCAAGCCAGCTTCATCTTGGCCACCCATGGCTTGCAAGAAGTGCAGCTGAGTTGGCAGAAATCACACTGAGATCAAAGCAGCTGAGGAATCACATAGACATGCACATATAAAAATGCTACAATTTCATTTGTTAATTAATCAATTAGTTAGCTAATTAGCAAATTATTTGATGTCAACATTAATTAGTTAATTACTGATAAAACTGACCAAAAGTCTAAGATTATGGCCAATCCCACACCACCAGAAACACCCTTCAGTCCTCTAGGGCTCTTCAGTCTTGGCCTTCTTGGACTTGGGCTCAGCATCTGATGATGGTGGATCTGATGCTGCTTCATCATTCTGCTCAGAGTCACCAAAGACCTGAGAGTCATCATCCTGCTGAGAGTCACCAAAGACCTGAGAGTCATCATCCTGCTGAGAGTCACCAAAGACCTGAGAGTCATCAGCATGCTGAGAGTCCTCAGTGACCTGCTGGGGCATCCTGCTGAGCACTTTGTCCCTGATCTCAGCAAGCTCCTCCTTGATCACATCAGCCCTGAGGTTCTCAATGTTCTGGCAATGCTGGACCCACTGATGCTGCCTGACCTCCACAAGTGCCAGCATGTTGAGCAGCTCAGCCTTGCACTTGATGAGGTTGAATCCATTTCCCTGAGACTGTCCACTGAGGGAGGCATGCACCTTGTGCAGCTCATCAAGGGAAGACCTGAGGTCCTGATGCTCCCCCATGTCGATCTCATGCCTACTGAGGAAGATAAGAGCATCCTGAGGGGTAATGCCAAGATCTGAGATGAACTTAAGGAGCTGTCCCTCTTCCTGAGTAGTAAGCTTCCCCATTGCCATGGCTGAAAAAGTTAGTGCAGTGGAACTGAGCTAAGGTTCTACTGGCTGTGTTTGATCCTTCACAAGCTCAAAAATCAACCTGAACCATTGCAAAGAAGCTGAGAGGTTGCATACAAGTTCAATCTAAGCCATAACTCATGACACCAAATCAAAGTTGAACATATTGTGATTAATTAATGAACAGTTAGTTATAGAAATGGTTGGTTCCTTCAGCTGAGTTCAACCTTAGTCATTGAAACCTTACCCAGACCCACCACTTTCCCAAACATTTTCTGGCAATGCCTTTTGCTGATAGTGCTATGCTGATGCATACTGAGCCTTGCTCAGGACAAAGTTGGAAACAACTGAGAAGCTGCTGAGAGTCACCAAAGACCTGAGAGTCATCATCCTGCTGAGAGTCACCAAAGACCTGAGAGTCATCAGCATGCTGAGAGTCCTCAGTGACCTGCTGGGGCATCCTGCTGAGCACTTTGTCCCTGATCTCAGCAAGCTCCTCCTTGATCACATCAGCCCTGAGGTTCTCAATGTTCTGGCAATGCTGGACCCACTGATGCTGCCTGACCTCCACAAGTGCCAGCATGTTGAGCAGCTCAGCCTTGCACTTGATGAGGTTGAATCCATTTCCCTGAGACTGTCCACTGAGGGAGGCATGCACCTTGATGTTAAACAAATGGCTAATATGTGTTAAACAAATTGACTAATTAATTATGCAATCAAATAATTCCAACAATTAACCTGCAGAAGAAGCCTCCACATCCCTTCAGATCTGCACACCTTTTTCCTTCATTCAAGCTGTATGGATTGCTTCTGAAAGCAAATTTAAAAAGGACACTGAGATTTCACTCAGTGATGTTCCATCTGCCTGAGGCAGCTACTTATCCTCATCATTCTGAGATTTTTGTTTCTTAGCTGGAGGACTGAGCAAATAGACAGCCCTGTCCCTTGGGATCTGGTACTTCTCTATGAAATCTTCAAGTTTCTGAGTCATGAAAGCATCCTGAGCCTCCTGAGCCTCCCTCTCAGCTTTTTCAGCCTCCTGCTGAGCCTCCTCCTCAGCTAGTACTGCCTCTTTCATTAAAAGCATGTTCTCATGGGTTCCTTGGAAAGCAATGATGCTGTTTGAAATCTCCTGAGACACATCTTCCATCAAGCTGAGATCAGTCTTCAGTCTGGCCACAGTCCTTTCCTGCATTTTCTGAGCTTGTTCCATCAATTCTATGCATTCTTGGAGCTCATCCATGTGAACTAACAGGTCCTCCAGAAGTTGATCATTCATGGAAGCATCTGAGAGAAGCAGAGCCATTGCTGAGCACCTACCCCCAGGATCCATCTGCTGGAGCTGGCTGAAGTAGTATGCTTCACCACTATGACACTCACTGGCCTGAGGTGGATCAGCTGGCCTTGCCTTAGGCATCACTGGTGTGCCTAGAGGCTCAGGAGGACGCTGAGAAGATGAAGGCCTAGAAGCAGAAGGATCTTCCATGAACTGAGCCTTACCATAATCTGCCTTCACTGACTTAGCCCATGGCAATGGATCCATGCTGAGAATCCTGGTGTAGTACCACTGGATCACCCACTGAGGCCATCCATCTGAGCCCTCAATGCAAGCTGCTTTGAATGAAACAAAAAAAGTAGACTGTAATTGATCAATTAATTCATGATGTTACCAAGTAATGAATTGCTCAATTAATTAATTAATTGGCTAATTGATTAATTAATTAATTATATGATTAATGTTGTTTACTTAGTTTTGAACTGTCACTGAGGTACTTGTAATTAGCAGTAATACTTTAGTTCAAAGCACATAAAAATCAGGAACAAAAAACAGGTAAACAAAAATAACATTATTCTAAGTCCACCCAGGAACTCTGCATTTGCCACATCCTGACTGCCAAGGAATTCTGCTGAGAAAAATGTCAGCTCCACAGGAACCACAGGCAACCTTAGGCTCATCCAAGTACCTGGGGTACTTGACCATAACCTCCTTATCCTGATTCTGGAACAGCTCAGAGATGTAAGGTCTCTTAGGATCACATGGTTGCACCAACTGAGCATGCTTTCCATTCTCTGATCTATACACCATTCCAGCAGGAATAGTGCTAAGGAGTTGCTGAGGTACCCAGGGCCCATATCTGCCCTCAGCATCCTTTTTTCCTGAGCCTTGGGCAGCTGTCTTCTGCTGCCAAGGGTGATTCTGCTGACTAGCAGCAGTGTTTGAACTCATGGCTTGCAAGAAGTGCAGCTGAGTTGGTGGAAATCGCACTGAGATCAAAGCAGCTGAGGAATCACATAGACATGCATAATTCAACACCATGCAAGCAAAATATCTAGTTGACTAATTCATTTATTACAATTATATATAATGAATCAATAAATGTATAGTTATTGAATATGATGCATGTGCAAGTAATTATAAGAAACTTACACATGCATAAGCATGCATTACTGATCAAGATTGCCACAAGTCTGAGGCCATGGTCAAGCTGAGCACCAATCCTACCCCACCACAAACACCCTTCAGTCCTCTGGAGCTAAGTGATCTCATGGTGCTGAGTGATTCCAGCATGCTCTTCAGCAGCACCATTGCTGAGAAAATCAACACAGTTGGATCTGAGCCTTCACAAGCTTTGGTATATAACATCAAAACTAAGTAAAGATTTTCCAAAGGATGAGTTTCAGCCAACCAAAAAAAAACATGAATGATCATGATACAAAATAGTATGGTTTGTTTGAGGGTACACTATTGTGTCCAGCTGCTTCCTCAGGTTATATTTTTTTCCAGCATTTCCTTTCCCTTTTCCTTTACTAAAGTTTGTTTCCTTTTACTTAGCTTCATTCTTCTTGGAATCAAAACCAAAGGCTTTCCAAAGGATTAGTTTCAGCCAACCAAAAAAAACATGAATGATCATGATACACAATAGTATGGTTTGTTTGAGGGTACACTATTGTGTCCAGCTGCTTCCTGAGGTGATTTTGTTTTTTTAACATTCCCTTTACATTTTCCTTTGCTAAAGTTTATGTCTTTTATTTTCTCAATTAGTTTCTTTTATTTAGAATTCTCAGAAATGCCTAATTTCCCAAAATATATGATGCCTTATTAAAATCCAATTAAAAAACATGACGCAAACAATTTTTCAAGAGGGTAGTCCATGAGCAACCCTGATACACAATAGTATGGTTTGTTTGAGGGTACACTATTGTGTCCAGCTGCTTCCTGAGGTTATATTTTTTTTCAAGCATTTCCTTTCCCTTTTCCTTTACTAAAGTTTGTTTCCTTTTACTTAGCTTCATTCTTCTTGGAATCAAAACCAAAGGCTTTCCAAAGGATTAGTTTCAGCCAAGCAAAAAAAAACATGAATGATCCTGATACACAATAGTATGGTTTGTTTGAGGGTACACTATTGTGTCCAGCTTCTTCCTGAGGTGAGAAAAACAATCATCCATCCAAGTAATTATTTTAAAGAATATCAAATCTAAATTGATTCACATCTGCTAAATTCAATCTTAGTCCATGCTGCTAAGTTCAATCTCAGTAATTAATTAATTATCTTAGTGCTTGCAACTCTACCCAACCCCATCACTTTCCCAGCCATCTTTTGCCAGTGTGTCCTGCTGATAGTCACATGCTGAGACATTCAAAAATCATTAAGCCTTGCTTAGCTCAATGTAAAAGAAAATCACTCAAGCTTGCTGAAGACCTTAATGCGGAGTGAGGTAGGCAGAATGCTGAGGTCCTGTCAGGGACAAGAAACTGATAGCAAAACTGAAAGACCCATTATTTGACACTAAACTCAGTGATGTTAATGTCCAACATTACCCATTACTTATGCTAAAGTAATCAATTAATTAACTAAATAATTGATTAATTATTGATTCATTAATTAGTTAATTAAGTAATTAACTAGCTAATTAATTAATTAATTAATTAATTAATTAATCAATTAATTATTCTAAACTGCAACAACAACCAGCAGCAGTGGCAAAACCACCCACATCACTTCAGAGCTGCACTCATTTTTTCCTGCCAGCTAAGTAATTCTTCACAATGCCTCTGGTATAATTACTCAGGAAGTGACTAAGGCTTCTAATTAACTATATATCTGCTCAGCAGTCATGCACCTGAGTTAATTATACATCCACAACTTCCTTCACTGAGTCCTGAGGCTTGTGATCAATCTGAGGAGACTTTTGCATCAGCTGCCTGAGATCTAGTTCACTCATTTGATGAGTTTCCATGAACTTTCTCAGAGCTTCCTTATTCACAAGATCCTGAGACAGCTTCTGCTCCCAGTAGGACTGAGATCTTTTCACTGAGAGTTGAAGCTCAGCATGCAAAGCCCTGAGCTCACCTTGCTCCTCTTCCATGTTCTTAGCATCTTTCCTGAGCCTAAGCATTGTGAGCTCCTGAGATTCAAGTGCCTGCTCAAGTAGAAGAATCTTGGACTTCATGTCCTCAATCAGATCAGGTACATTGTCCAAGTCACTGAGCTTCTGATCTGATTCTGAGTTGTCCAGGAGCTTGTCAATCTCATTGATGTTCAGCTTTTGGAGCTCAGACTTGACATAGCCCTGAGCATCATTGGCAGTCCTGATAGGCTGAGGCTTCCAAACTGAGCTTCCCTGCATATTTGATAAAGCAGCATCCTGATGAGGTCTGCCTGAGCCCTTCCCTGTTGATGAAGAAGCAGTTGCTGCTGAGAATCCAGCTGGTGGATCAGGCTCAGGAGGCTTGAACTGAGCTTGTCTGAACTGAGGAGCTACAAATGCACCCCAAGGCAATGGGTCCATTCTGAGCACCTCAGTGTAATATCTTTGAACCACTTCCTGAGACCAGCCATTGTGTTCCTGCAGGGTTGCAAATGGTGTCCATGAAAAAAATGACAACTATATCAGTTAATTAATGCTCATTGTCCTATGCTAAAACACACAAACACACACCACCAAAAAAAACATCATCCATTTGTTCAACCCAGGCACAGAGCATTCTCTACATCCTGATTGCCAGGGAATTCTGCTGAGGAAGACTTGATGGCCATTGCCACAGTCAACCTTAGGCTCCCCAAGGTATCTAGGATACTCCACAATGTTTTCTGAGTCCATGTTGTTGAAGAGTGCTAAGCATGAGGGTTCCTGAGGTGGATCATTGGGCTGAAGCTGGTAGCGCCCTTTGCCACCCTTCTGAGTCCACAAAACCTTGTCAGGCACCTCAGCAGGCTTCTCTTCAAACATAGGATGAGGTTTGCCTGAGCCTCTCCCATGATAGTCAAAGAAAGACATAGCTGAGATGATATGGAGCAAAGGTTGATTAGTCCTGGCCCTTAGATTTGAGCCTTAAAAAGCTGAGGAATCACATAGACATGCACAAATATGAACATGCTACAACTTCATTGGTTAATTAATTAGCTAATTACTCAATTATAAGAAACTTAAACATGCATAAGCATGCTAATTAATTAATTAATTGATTAATTAATTAGTTAATTAATCAAAATTGCCAAAAGTCTAAGATTATGTCCAAGCTGAGCACTAATCCCACACCACCAGAAACACCCTTCAGTCCTCTAGGGCTCTTCAGTCTTGGCCTTCTTGGACTTGGGCTCAGCATCTGAGGATGGATCTGATGCTGAATCATCACTGCTCATAGGCTGAGAGTCTAGGACCTGAGAATCATCAACCAGCTCCTGGGACCCAAAGGGTGTATCTGATGGTGCTTCATCATCACTCCCCATAGGCTGAGAGTCTAAGACCTGAGAGTCCTTAGCCACCTCCATCACCTCATGGTCAGGCTGTGCATTCAACTCCTTTTCCATATCCTGAAACTTGCTGAGGGTAGCATCAAATGTATCAGACTTAGCAGGTTGGGCAGGCTGGGCAGGCTGAGGAAGAGGGATACACTCTGATGGCCAACCATCCTGAGCATCCTGAAGAGCTGTCTTGGGAATCCTAATCCATTGCCCCTGAGTGATCTTTGGGTAACCCTTGAAGTCTTTGAAGATCTGACTGAGTTCATTCCTGAAACTGAGCATCACCCAATCAGGCACAGCATCAGGATCCTCAAGCTGAACCAACTGCTGAGTGTAGTACTTCTGCAGCATGTCCACAAACTGTTCCTGAGAGCACCTGAGCTTCACCTTGATGTCAGCCATCTCAGCTGTCAGAGCCACCACCTTCATGGAGTTGCTTAAAGAACCACCCAAAAATAAAACTCATTAACTAATTCATTAATGGATTTCCCATTGGGAAACAAAAAAACAAATCCAAGCCTTAGGACTCAAAGAGAATTTCTCCAGAGTCAGGAGGATATTCCTGAGGCTGGAAAACCATTCCACAAGATGATAATTGTAGTCCTTCCTGAGCTTGTCCATCTCAGTGTTGAATTGCTCCATGGCTGAGCTGATGGGATGCAAAGAAGCTGGCTAGAATGGGCTTGAGCCTTCACAAGCAAAGAAATAAATCCCCCCATGTGAGATGAAAATGGATTGAAATCAAATGAAAAGCAATTCCTTTGTTAATTAATAAATTAAGTTGAAATCAATTCAAAGTAAAGTGAAAATCAATTGAAAAACAATTTAATTAAACAAATTGAAAATCAATCGAAATTAATTTGAAATCATTTGAAATCAATTGAACATCAGTTGAAAATGAATTGAAATCAATTGCAATCAAAACCAAAGGCTTTCCAAAGGATGAGTTTCAGCCAAGCAAAAAAAAACATGAATGATCCTGATACACAATAGTATGGTTTGTTTGAGGGTACACTATTGTGTCCAGCTGCTTCCTGAGGTTATGTTTTTTTTTCAAGCATTTCCTTTCCCTTTTCATTTACTAAAGTTTGTTTCCTTTTACTTAGCTTCATCCTTCTTGGAATCAAAACCAAAGGCTTTCCAAAGGATCAGTTTTAGCCAAGCAAAAAAAAACATGAATGATCCTGATACACAATAGTATGGTTTGTTTGAGGGTACACTATTGTGTCCAGCTGCTTCCTGAGGTGATGTTGTTTTTTAACATTCCCTTTGCATTTTCCTTTGCTAAAGCTTTTTTTTATTTTCTCAATTAATTAGTTTCTTTTATTTAGAATTCTCAGAAATGCACAATTTCCCAAAATATATGATGCCTTATCAAAACCCAATTAAAAAACATGACTCAAACAATTTTTCAAGGGGGTAGTCCATGAGCAACCCTGATACACAATAGTGTGGTTTGTTTGGGGGTACACTATTGTGTCCAGCTGCTTCCTGAGGTGATTGTTTTTTTTTTTCAACCATTTCCTTTTCTTTTTCCTTTGCTAAAGTTTGTTTCCTTTTACTTAGCTTCATTTTTCTTGGATTCAAAACCAAAGGCTTTCCAAAGGATTAGTTTCAGCCAAGCAAAAAAAAACATGAATGATCATGATACGCAATAGTATGGTTTGTTTGAGGGTACACTATTGTGTCCAGCTGCTTCCTGAGGTGATTTTGTTTTTTAACATTTCCTTTGCATTTTCCTTTGCTAAAGTTTTTTTATTTTCTCAATTAATTAGTTTCTTTTATTTAGAATTCTCAGAAATGCACAATTTCCCAAAATATATGATGCCTTATTAAATCCCAATTAAAAAACATGACTCAAACAATTTTTCAAGGGGGTAGTCCATGAGCAACCCTGATACACAATAGTGTGGTTTGTTTGGGGGTACACTATTGTGTCCAGCTGCTTCCTGAGGTGATTGTTTTTTTTTCAACCATTTCCTTTTCCTTTTCCTTTGCTAAAGTTTGTTTCCTTTTACTTAGCTTCATTTTTCTTGGAATCAAAACCAAAGGCTTTCCAAAGGATTAGTTTCAGCCAAGCAAAAAAAAACATGAATGATCATGATACACAATAGTATGGTTTGTTTGAGGGTACACTATTGTGTCCAGCTGCTTCCTGAGGTGATTTTGTTTTTTAACATTTCCTTTACATTTTCCTTTGCTAAAGTTTTTTTTTATTTTCTCAATTAATTAGTTTCTTTTATTTAGAATTCTCAGAAATGCACAATTTCCCAAAATATATGATGCCTTATTAAAACCCAATTAAAAAACATGACTCAAACAATTTTTCAAGGGGGTAGTCCATGAGCAACCCTGATACACAATAGTGTGGTTTGTTTGGGGGTACACTATTGTGTCCAGCTGCTTCCTGAGGTGATTGTTTTTTTTCAACAATTTCCTTTTCCTTTTCCTTTGCTAAAGTTTGTTTCCTTTTACTTAGCTTCATTTTTCTTGGAATCAAAACCAAAGGCTTTCCAAAGGATTAGTTTCAGCCAAGCAAAAAAAACATGAATGATCATGATACACAATAGTATGGTTTGTTTGAGGGTACACTATTGTGTCCAGCTGCTTCCTGAGGTGATTTTGTTTTTTAACATTTCCTTTACATTTTCCTTTGCTAAAGCTTTTTTTTATTTTCTCAATTAATTAGTTTCTTTTATTTAGAATTCTCAGAAATGCACAATTTCACAAAATATATGATGCCTTATTAAAACCCAATTAAAAAACATGACTCAAACAATTTTTCAAGGGGGTAGTCCATGAGCAACCCTGATACACAATAGTGTGGTTTGTTTGGGGGCACACTATTGTGTCCAGCTGCTTCCTGAGGTGATTTTTTTTTTTCAACCATTTCCTTTTCTTTTTCCTTTGCTAAAGTTTGCTTCCTTTTACTTAGCTTCATTTTTCTTGGATTCAAAACCAAAGGCTTTCCAAAGGATCAGTTTTAGCCAAGCAAAAAAAAACATGAATGATCCTGATACACAATAGTATGGTTTGTTTGAGGGTACACTATTGTGTCCAGCTGCTTCCTGAGGTGATTTTGTTTTTTAATCAAGTAAATTGAAATCAAGTAAATTGAAATCAATTGAAAGTAAATTGAAATCAATTGAAAGTAAATTGAAATCAATTGAAAGTAAATTGAAATCAATTGAAAGTAAATTGAAATCAATTCAAAATAAATTGAAATCAATTGAAAGTAAATTGAAATCAATTCAAAATAAATTGAAATCAATTCAAAATAAATTGAAATCAATTCAAAATAAATTGAAATCAATTGAAAGTAAATTGAAATCAATTGAAAGTAAATAATAAATTGAAATCAATTGAAAGTAAATTGAAATCAATTGAAAGTAAATTGAAATCAATTCAAAATAAATTGAAATCAATTGAAAGTAAATTGAAATCAATTGAAAGTAAATTGAAATCAATTCAAAATAAATTGAAATCAATTGAAAGTAAATTGAAATCAATTGAAAGTAAATTGAAATCAATTGAAAGTAAATTGAAATCAATTGAAAGTAAATTGAAATCAATTGAAAGTAAATTGAAATCAATTGAAAGTAAATTGAAATCAATTGAAAGTAAATTGAAATCAATTGAAAGTAAATTGAAATCAATTGAAAGTAAATTGAAATCAAATTCAATTGAAAGTAAATTGAAATCAATTGAAAATAAATTGAAATCAATTGAAAGTAAATTGAAATCAATTGAAAGTAAATTGAAATCAATTGAAAGTAAATTGAAATCAATTGAAAGTAAATTGAAATCAATTGAAAGTAAATTGAAATCAATTCAAAATAAATTGAAATCAATTCAAAATAAATTAAAATCAATTTAAATCTATCAATTTTTTTTGATTTTACACTATTCTGTACCCGGTAATTTGTTTTTTCCACACTATTCTGTTACCCAAATTTGTTTGGGGGGGGGGGCTCCCCACACTAATCAGTAACCAACATTATACATAATTCCCTTGGTAGTGCTCCTGAAAACTGCACGGAGTCTAACGGGTTCTCACCCATCATTTGATGGGCCACTGGCAAACCCTACAATGTAAGGCAAAAACGGCAAGGAAAAATGGGCGACCAAGCTGGCAAAATCAGCGATGCCAGCAGGGCAACGCGATTGGAATGCAAAGTGCCCAACTGCCGTGGCGAAAAGGCTGTCGCCTCGCTTGCCTGCGAAAAACCTTCCTGCCCTTCGGCAGGGAAGGCGCAGGTAAGGGAAGCAGCCGCCCGAAGGCGACAAGAGTTTGCCCGAGAAAGGCAAGCTTAAACAAAAAAGGCTTCACTCACTCGGGCGCTGGCTGGTGCAAGACGTGGGCGTTGGCACGGCTAGGGCGCGGCGAAGCAGGAGACGTCGTCTGCTGGGGCAAGCGCCGGAGCACGGCTCTTGCGTTTTCTCGCTGCAAGGCCACAGACAAGGCTTGAAGCAGCTGCTCAACGCCCTGGGACGCCGTCAGCCCGATGCAAGCTCCATGCAACGCCCCAAGCTTTTTCCAAGTGGCAGAAGCGGTGGGGCCCCACCCACCGGCGGGTGCAGAGACATCTGGGGAGATGAGAGATGAAAAGTTGCACGCCCTTGTGGCGCGAAGCCGATTTCGAAGTGAAAAGGTACAAAACACCTCAGCGTCGGACCGCTTTTGGAAGTTGAGATGTTGAAAAAGTGCACGGCGTTGTGGCGCGAAGCACATTTCGAAGTCAAAAGTGTTAAAAACTGAGGGTCCCGGAGCACTTTTGGAAGTTGAGATGTCGAAAAAGTGCACGCCGTTGTGGCGCGAAGCACATTTGGAAGTCAAAGGTGTTAAAAACTGGCGGTCTCGGAGCACTTTTGGAAGTTGAGATGTCGAAAAAGTGCACGGCGTTGTGGCGCGAAGCACATTTCGAAGTCAAAAGTGTTAAAAATTGAGGGTCTCGGCGACATTTTGGACGTTCAGACGTCGTTTCGTACGGTAGGTGGCGTGGATTGTGCATCCACTGAAAAGTGACTAAAACGTGAGGGTTTTGTAGCATTTTCAAAAACGATGGCAGGCGTGGGAGATTTGACGAGGATCTGCACAGATGCATTTTTCGTGGCAGGCGCAGTACAAGAGGCATCTTCAGCAGAGACAGATGCATGGATGAATCGATAGAGAAACAGAACGAAGAACATGGTGATGGATAGCTGTGGACATGGATCGATGAAGAGATGGACGGAAAAAAACACTAACAGAGAGAAGTAAGTGGATGGATGAATGGCTGGATAGACAGAAAGATAGACAGTTTAATAGATAGGTGAATAAACAAATCGATCGATAGATACATGAATAGACAGGTAGATAGGCAGATGGCTAGAAAGGTAGCTCTGTAGATAGATGGCGAAAGAGAGACACAGAGAGAAAGAGAGAAAGAGAGACAGAAAGGGAGAAACACTCAACCACCTTTCAATCCATCAGTGGGTTCGCTCTGCCATTTTTGCGTCACACCAACTCACCTCTCCTATAGGTTTTGCATTTTTGAAACTTCCGCCACCGCCTTGATCCGCCTTGTGCGGTACTACTGGTAATAATATTATTCAATATTTTTGCCACGAAATTATTTTATTTCCAGAAGATAAACAGAACATAATAATACAAATTCTTATTTATTTATTGGTTGATGATGCTCTTGCGCCTATCGGTCAGGCTCACCGAGTTTTCGGTGCCCTATCGAGCTACAACTGGGTTGGAGCAGCATTTTCAACATGCCGCAAACCCAAAAAAGTATGTAGATATATGTAGACAAGGCAGCCCAGCTGCCAAAATCGCAGCGCCATCATCGAACCCTTCAACTCCACAAATTTGATCAATCTTCCTGGAAGACCGGAACTTGATGCTTCAGAGGCAACTGACATCACATCATTGCTGTACAGTATCTGTATGAGGCATATGCACCTCGATGGTTTCCAAATAGTGATCCAATGTCCGGGAAACTTCACCCAAGCTTCAATGGAGCCCGATTGCCTGCCTTCACGACCCTGGTGCTTCCTCCAACTTGGCACCTGCACAGTTAAATGACATCCCTTCAACCAATGTCTTCAGGGCTCCCCCGGCCTGCTATAGCGAGTTTTGTTGTGCCTATATGATGCTCCTGACCAGGGTCTATCGAATCTAATCCAATCCAACTTTTTCAAGCCTTCAACCCCAAAAATTCAATTCTTGGTTTTTAATAGACTGACTATCTGCCACTTATAGCTTGCTGAAGAGCACCTTTTTCAAACTGTCTGGTTTTTGTGGGCGTGCCCTATCTGCAACACCTGAGGGCAATTGCTAACACCGGCTCTGTCTTGCGCGTAATTTCCTGTCGAGCACAAGGAAATTCTACGTCCATCGGGTAAAGAAACGTTTTCGCTGGTGAAACCCATTTCTGTATATTCCCCAATCCCAAGCGTTTCTCGTGATTCAACTCCCATGAGGAAGATACAACGCGACGAAAGACTTCGAAAGTTCTGGAACTTTCTCCATCCGCCTCCCCCCCGTGCAGCATGCCTTCCAAAAAACTCAGCTCCGTCGCAAGCTGCTCACGCTGGGCCAGGCGTTGTTGAAATGCACTAGTGGCTCCAATCCAAATCCCCGTAGAGACCTGACGCGGGATCGCCGCTGTTCGAATGCTGGGAAAACCACTCAAATCCAATGGTTCCCCGGTTCCCATTCTCTGCCCATTGGATTTGAGTGGAAAAAGCCCATTGGATTTGTATCTTTTCCCTGTTCCCGTTCTGATCCATTTCCCTGTGTAGGAAAGAAGGTTTTGGGGGGTGAACAAAACCCAAGAAACCACAGCCGTGGCCCATGAACATAAAAATTCATGAATTTACAACATCAATTTCGGACCCGCTATGAATGATGAGGCTACTGTATAAACAATAATGTGGTAAAAGCAAGAATAAACCATCCCATCAACCAACTATTTGGAAGTCATTGGAAGTCATTTCACATCAGCCCAAATAAGGGTATACACGATAATGAGCCTGTATTGGGGATGGTTTATTGTTAACTTTACCTGGTTTTACCACATTGATAATTCTGAGGAAACTAGTGGCAATAACTAGTCAACATGGCTCGGCTAGAAAATCACCGATATTCACATGGTCAATCTTAGATACCCTGCCAAAAAAAGGGACAATTCTTAGCTGGTGAGTAGATAATCCCATTGATACCAAAAGACTAAAGGATTCCCATCTGGTTATTTAACATAGCCATGGAAAATCACCATTTTTAATAGGTAAACCATCTATAAATGGGCCATGTTCCATGGCTATGTTAAATAACCAGATGGTAGTTTCCACCCATCCAGCCGATTGACCTAGTTGCAAACTCAGGCTCCATCAGCCATCAACTTCGGGGATTTCCCAGCGGGGCTTCGAAGCCCGGCAGCCTGACGATAGAAGATGCCACTCGTCACCCATACGGCCTTCTCAGCCTGATCGCAACGCTGGAAGATGTGCAAATTTGTTGGGAAGAAACTATCTCCCCTGGAGATGGGGATGAGGTTTTCAAGGATTTTCTTGACAGTGATGGAGTCAACGACATGAAATGCTCGGATATGATAGAAAACAATGAACATCAGCTTTAGATGGACATTCGAATGGGCGGTTTGATGTTTCCACGTCAAACTGCCAAGATACCAAGAGTAGAAGCAAGAGTAGAAGTGATGGTTTGGACTTTCAAATGCCAACTTTGGACCAGCCATACCTTCAAAAAGCACTCTTCAGATCCACAATGAAGACTACGCGCCCCAATCATCATGGATTCATTCCAAATTTCCTGCATTTCCTCATGGTGTAGCGCGTATAGTGACTTTGGCAACTAAAACGCTAACACCCCAATCAAACAACCCAGGAGGTTTAAAGATCTGAATTATTGAATTGAGATGAATTGAGATCCCAGGTGGTATGGTCACATAAGCACATCAATTGTCATGTTCGTATGCCACGCTACCACTGGTTTTGTGGCTAAACCATGCAAAACCCCGTTCTTTGCTGGGCAGTTTCCAACTTACGAAATATCGTGAATAAAACAATAATTGTTTCTTTGTGTCACACAAGTGCGAAACCATTTTTTCACGGTGGAACCCTGATGAAATTCATGGATATGTATCCTTTTTTCTTCTACTCCATATGGGTACTAGGGTGTTTCTCTAAATTGACCCGAAAAAACATTGAAATCTTGACAAAAACATCGCGCGGGCCGCGGGCAGGGTCCGATCAGAAACTCCCAGACGTTGACGAAAAATGATCTTACCAAGCTAAAAAATGTCGCGATTTCCATCGAAGTCATTGACCTTCTGGCCCAAGGATACCTACTTGGTATGGGACTTGGACCATCCATTGGTATCACTTAATTCATTTGATTTATTTACATGCATTCCAGTATCTACATCTATCTGTGAATGTTTATGTTTATGAAGGTAACATATATCTATTATATATTTCATATATTAACTACATACATTAAATGAAACTATAATCATAAATATGCTAATTATATATGTATATATATATGATATGTGTGTACGTGCAGGTGATCTTTTTGTTGTCCAATTTGCCCGGCCTCCTGCAGGGCTCCGCGCAGCTCCAGTAGCCGCGCATCACCGGCCTCCGCGGAAGCCAATTGGCTCTGACGCTCGGCGATGCGCTCCTTGTAGTGCAAGACAAGGCCTGATGCGAAAGTCATGGGGGTAGTTGGATGTTGCTTGTTGTAGTTCTTTGGGTTTTAGATGTGTAACTTTTTTCACTTGTGCCTTTTTTCGCAGCAAGACTTTGGGACTTGTTAAAGTAGCAAATACTTTAGAAACCAATCAGCAAAGATTGGATGTTAACCAGCAAGGAATGAATGCACATGGGATTATCATGGATTCATGGTTTCAAAAAGGCAAAAGAAAGGCTTCGCAAGCAAACAAAACATTGATGGCCCAAAAGTAAAAATACATTTTTCAATGAGCAACCTCAGTCTGAGTGTTCCAAGGTGGAAGTGCATCAGGAGGAGAAATGTCACTGAGGTCAATGGAGTGCAATGCTGAGAATGTCTCAGCCTGAGAAGGAAATAATAAACAAAACATCACATGAACTAGTTAATCTAAAGACTATGTTGAAGTTGTTGCTTACCCCAATGCTCAAGTTAAAACAAACTAATTCAAGCTGAGCAACCTTGGTTTTCAGGCCATCTTGCCTGGTCAGAGCAGCTTGGTAATGCTGCTTAGCCATACTCCATCCTGAGGTGTGAGTAAGAGCATGCTCTAAGTCAAACTCCTTGCGCATAAAGACTGAGTCAAGCTCTGGGCGCATTGTGTTCTGCACCAGAAGCACCTCATGGCTGAGCTCTTCCTCAGATGCCTCAGTCTGGTAGATGGCCTGAGATTGTTTGGCATCACAGCATGGTAATTAAAAGATATTGCTGATCAGTTAAACTTAAGAAAGAACTAATGAAAAGTAAAATTGCAAATAGAAAAAATACCAACACAAAAAAAATGACATTGATTAATTAATTATCCTGAGTTGCTCTGAGAAAACGCTGATATTGCACCACCTCCTGGATGCTGAGGATAGCTGTGCTGAGCAACAAATCCCATTCCATCTCTAAGTCCTCAGTTGCTGAAGCATTCTTGTTTCATTAATTACTAAGCACACAGATTTGATCTTAAACAAATCTATTAATTGATTAACTAATTAATATAATTGATTAATTAGTCAATTCATTAATTAATTGCATTGAAAAAAAAAACATAAAACTGACAGTGGCTTTAACCAAGACACCATGTTGGTATACTGAGAGACTCCTTTACTTCCACTGAGAAAGGACCACTTCTGAGTGTTTATGAACTCCAAATACAGCTGAGATCCACCAGCTGAGGGGTTGAAGTCATTGAAGTGCTGCTTGAGGTGTCTCAGGACATCCCATGGCCTCCCCTGAGAAAGGTCCATCCTGAGCTCCATTGATTGCAGCTTTGTGCCACAATACTGAGATGAGGTCAAGTGTTCTTGACTGAGCTCCCACATCTCCTGGCTGGGTCAAATGAACCAACTAAAAAGGAATATGTTTTTTGAGATAATTCATTAATTAATATGGAAAGCATCAACCTTAGGCCATCATCTTTCTGACATATGCTCAAGTGCCACCAAGTTTCCTCCCTCAGGTTGCTTATCTGAGTGTCCAATTTCTCAACTGAGTTACTGAACAGCTTCAGATCAGAGGATATCTCAAGCAAAGTCTTGAGGATGATGCTGAGGAGGATGATAGCTGAGCATATTCCCTTGGCATTGCAATCAAGAACTTATCAAGAATGTGTCTAAAAATGATAGGAACCCAGCTATTTGCTTGGAGAAAGCTAGTGGAGAAACAAAAATGTTTATTTACTTAAATCTTGCCCAAGATCCAGCTGAGAACTGGTGCAGAGTGGTTCCAACCCACTCAGCCTCTTGCTCAGATCAACTGAGTTGCAGCCTGCAATGCTGGCTGCATGAGATGGAAAAAACATATTTCCTCAATTAATTAATGAGGTTAACAAAAACCCATTCAATAGCCCAAGGTTTAAAACCAAAAAGCTGAGATGCAAGCTCAGATGCTGGCCATGCTGATCCCTGAGCTCATCACCAAGGCCAAGAAAGCAAAGGTCTTGAGCTGATTTGAAATAGCCATGCTGAGCCTTGGCTGACAAGATTAGAATTTAGCAACCTCAAACTGAAACAAGGTAATTAATTAAGTAATTAAATATACCACTTTTATACAGTAATCAATTGACAACCTCTATTTCATAGGAAAAACTTGATACAATAAAAAAAATTGCAACAAAAAACAAAACTTAAATTTTATTGACAATCTCAGGAACACAGTTGACAGGAGCTGAAGGAAGCTGATGCTGCTCTGGGCACTGCTGAGCTTTGGATGCTGCTGTGCACACATGCAAGCTCTGAGGCAAAACATCAGGTTTTTTTATTTGTAATTATTTTCTTAGTTTCTTTCATTTGAAATTCCCAGAAATGTTCAATTTCCCAAACTATATATATAATGCCTTATTAAAACCCAATTTAAATATATCTCTCAAACAATTTTTCAAGGTGGTAGTCCATGAGCAACCCTGATACACAATAGTATGGTTTGTTTGAGGGTACACTATTGTGTCCAGCTACTTCCTGAGGTCATGATTTTTAGATTTTTTCAATCAGTTCCTTTACCTTTTCCTTTGCTAGCTAAAGTTTTTTCCTTTTAATTAATTCCTTTCTTAGTTTCTTTCATTTGAAATCCTCAGAAATGCACAGTTTCCCAAAATATATGATGCCTTATTAAAACCCAATTTAAAAACATCACTCAGACAATTTTTCAAAGGGGTAGTCCATGAGCAACCCTGAGACACAATAGTGTGGTTTGTTTGAGGGTACACTATTGTGTCCAGCTGCTTCCTGAGGTTATGTGTTTTTTTTTTGAACCAGTTCCTTTCCCTTTTCCTTTGTTAAAGGTTGTTTCCCTTTTAATTACTTAGCCTCATCCTTCTTGGAATCAAAACCAAAGGCTTTCCAAAGGATTAGTTTCAGCCAACCAAAAAAAGACATGAATGATCATGATACACAATAGTATGGTTTGTTTGAGGGTACACTATTGTGTCCAGCTGCTTCCTGAGGTGACTTTGTTTTTTACCATTCCCTTTACCTTTTCCTTTGCTAAAGTTTTTTCCTTTTAATTAATTCCTTCTTAATTAGTTTCTTTCATTTGAAATTCCCAGAAATGCTCAATTTCCCAAAATATATGATGCCTTATTAAAACCCAATTAAAAAACATCACTCAGACAATTTTTCAAAGGGGTAGTCCATGAGCAACCCTGATGCACAATAGTTTGGTTTGTTTGAGGGTACACTATTGTGTCCAGCTGCTTCCTGAGGTTATGTGTTTTTTTTTTGAACCAGTTCCTTTCCCTTTTCCTTTGTTAAAGGTTGTTTCCCTTTTAATTACTTAGCCTCATCCTTCTTGGAATCAAAACCAAAGGCTTTCCAAAGGATTAGTTTCAGCCAACCAAAAAAAGACATGAATGATCATGATACACAATAGTATGGTTTGTTTGAGGGTACACTATTGTGTCCAGCTGCTTCCTGAGGTGACTTTGTTTTTTACCATTCCCTTTACCTTTTCCTTTGCTAAAGTTTTTTCCTTTTAATTAATTCCTTCTTAATTAGTTTCTTTCATTTGAAATTCCCAGAAATGCTCAATTTCCCAAAATTTATGATGCCTTATTAAAACCCAATTAAAAAACATCACTCAGACAATTTTTCAAGGGGGTAGTCCATGAGCAACCCTGATACACAATAGTATGGTTTGTTTGGGGGTACACTATTGTGTCCAGCTGCTTCCTGGTGTGTTTTTTTTCAACCATTTCCTTTCCCTTTTCCTTTGCTAAAGTTTTTTCCTTTTAATTACTTAGCTTCATTCTTCTTGGAATCAAAACCAAAGGCTTTCCAAAGGATTAGTTTCAGCTAACCAAACAAACACATGAATGATCATGATACACAATAGTATGGTTTGTTTGAGGGTACACTATTGTGTCCAACTGCTTCCTGAGGTGATTTTGTCTTTAAACATTCCCTGTCTTCCTTTTAATTTCAGTAATTACTTTCTTAGTTTCATTTGAAATTTTCAAAAATTCTCAGTTAGTTAATTATATAATTAATTAATTATAGCAATTGTTGGTTCCTTCTGCTGAGCTCAACCTTAGTCATTGGAAGTTTACCCAATCCCATCACTTTCCCAAACTTGTTTTTGGCCATGCATTTTGCTCATAGTGCTTTGCTGGGGCATACTGAGCCTTGCTCAGGCCAAAGTTGAAAAAACCATTGAAGCTGGCTGAGGTAGAACATGGTGTAGATCATGCTGAGATCCTGTCAGGGACAAAATGCTGAAAGCAAAACATTCAACTGTCTGGCACTAATTAATCTCATTGCATATTGTTCATTTAATAATTACTCAAAAAAAAGTAAGTAACTACACATCATTGTGTTAAACAAATTGACTATGCAGTCAAATGCATCCAACAATTAACATACTTAATTACTGTAGAAGCCCTCCACATCCCTTCAGAGCTGCACACTTTTTTCCTTAGCTTGAAGCTGCATGGATTGCTTGTGATAGCAAATTTTAAAAAAGACACTGAGATTTTACTCAGTGATGCTGGATGCTTTCAGTCAGCTGCCTTGCTCTTATCAGAATGCTCCTCAGCATCTTCTTGCTGCTCACTGCTCTTAGAAGGCTGAGAATCTCCCTGAGTTTCCTGTTGTTTCTCCTCCAAAACTTGAAAAATCTGATCATCAGTGAGTTTAAGCTTTTTTCTGATGGCATCAAATTTAATCGCTAAGTCAACATTTTTCTGATCCTCAGATTGGATGCTGCTGCTTCCTGAGCTATTCTTCTTCTTCTCTTCCTCTTTCTGAGCCATGCAATTGATGAGCTTCTGCTTAGCATCATCAAACTGGATCTTAGTCTCATGCCACTGATTCATGAGGACCTCCATGAGCTCAATGTCTTTTTTGAGCTTCCTCACAGTTGCATACTGAGCATCCTCAGCTTCAGTGATGGTTTGGCTGAGCAAGGTGAAATCCTCATGGTAATCACTGAGAGCCAACCAATTTCCAGTCTTCTCAGCTTTGGCCACCTCC